CAGCTTCCACATGCTATATACATACATCTAATTTGCATTCATTCCATTCTGCAATTCTGCCCTCATTTCTTTCACTTTTTTCCTTTTGTTTTTCATGTCCATTTTTTTTCCTGAAGCTCCACTCTTGTGATTTGTTCCCTGTTCATGGTGTCTCATCACCCTTGTATCTGTCAGTAATTCTCTTAGTCTTAATTCAATCATAAACAATGAAATTAATCACTTTGAGATTTACATTCATAATTTTGACATGCATAAATATGAATAGACCAATGCATAAGCCATGCCTTTGAAACATGCAGCTTTTTTTTTTAAAGTGATATTCACACCACTCTCATTCTTCTGTGGGATTCCAAATATTTCAGTCATTTTTCTCTATAAACTCTCATTTCCATTTGTAAAGGAAGGTAAGGTTGGCCTTAGGTGTCAGCCTTACCAGCAGTCCAGACAAGGAACCCAACCTGGGTTTATTTTATTGTAAAGATACATTAACAGAATCTTGTAAACCTGAAAGTACGGTTCTCCCACTGTCTCTTTTGCAGTCTGAGAACTTAGAGAGTTTCTCTTGAGCCTCTTGCTCCATCCACTATACAGCTGTGAGCTATGCATCCCTAGGCAGCATCTTTTTGCCTGGTCTCCCAAGGTCATTCCCACATACCATTATATTGGGCATAGGAAAGGAATGATCAAACCCTCAGGTAAGCAGATAATGAACTTTCAGTGTGCCGTGATACAGCTAAGCCCTGTCTCCAGGACTCATTCATGCGATCAATAAACAAGGAGTCCTAGGATGAAGGCGGCTCTTGGCTTCCATCCATGAGACTCTACAATTCTATGAGAAGAAAGGGAGCTCTTTCTAGCTCTATCTCACTCTTCCCTGCCAGGTTTATCCATTGACCTTGGTGAGCTGCCAAGCCCAACTGGAGGTGAAGGAGGGGGCAGTGATTTTGACAGACATGTGCTGTAAAGGAATTTACAACTGAGCTTGGGCTAAAGAAGGAGCGATCAATGTCCTGTCCTATGAATTTTTGATGGACGTGCAAAACACAGTGTCTTTCTGAATCATAGTTAATACATTGGAATGTTTGTGGTTATTATGTTCCTCCCACCTCTTATGGAGGGTGCTGCCTTGTGTTTTTTTAGCTCATCCACGTAGCAGTGGTGATGTGTTTCCCACCCATCTTGAGAGACAGGTCAAAAGTATAGTGATATTTAAACAGCTGCTTCTTTTGCCATGCTTCAGCGGTAAGGATGATAGTGTTGCTGCCCACACACAGTTCAGTATGTGGTAGGTGAGAATCGGATGCACCTTGGAACTCTTTTTTATCTCCTTTTAGGTAGCTGCATCCCAGCTGCCAAAGTTGTTCTTGAAGCAAGACATTAGCAAGAGGCAGGAGGGAAGTGAAGAAGGTGCTCCTCCCTCCCTCCCTCCCTCCCCACTTTATCATTGAGAAAACTGGTTTGCGCCACAAGTAGGATGTCTCTCTTGTTCCCTCCCCTCTTCTTCTTTCACTGAAAGAAGGTTGGAGGGGGCTTATCTGAAGAATCCTTCTTCCTTCCGCAAATCTGATTGTAGTTGCATTCATGTATCTTCAGCCTTTCCAAATGTATCTCTTCCCACAGCCAATGTCCATATATACTGCAGATCAGCTCAGCTCAGAGATACGTGATCAAATTTGAGATTTCCCAGATGAGATTTAGCGTAAGACCTGACCTTATGTTCCTTTAAATTCAGCTTCACTCAACACAGCAAAACTTTGCATGCCATCAATACCCCTGCATACTCCTGCATACTCCTGCATACTCCTGAAAATATTACATAGGATTTATTTATATGAATTGCATGGCCACCCAGCTCACGAAAGAGTGACTCTAGGTGGCATACAACAACAACAACAACAACAAATCAGAATTAAAATAAAACATAATAGTCAAACGAACAGTTGGGGTATGCCAACATCTTGGTAATACATCTTACTTCTCTAGTATCTTAGTCCCACATCCAAAGGTTCATTAGAGTCTTCAGGGCCTTCCTGAAGACTAACAGGGTTGTGGTGAGTCAAATTTCAAGAGGGAGGTTATTCCACAGAGCAGATGTCGTCATGGAGTGGGTCTTTTGCTCAGAATAAATTAGCTATATTATATATTGGCAAGAGACTTAAATAGTCGACAGCATTATGGTACATTTTTTTTAAGGTTCTAAAAACCCATTGCTGGCATTGTAGCAGATTAGACGCCACAAAAGGAATCCCTTAAGTACACACACCTTTTATTTAGGGCCATAATTTTGATTACTGTGGCTGACTTTCCAAACGCAGTGCGATCAGCATTAACCAATGAATTATCTCATTACTTTTCAACAATGCTTGTTCTGTTTCTGAACAGAGACAGATAAATACTGCTGCTGCAATTACCTATAGTCATTGGTGTCTCCTTGTTCCTGGCTTCTATTGATGTGGTGTTCTTGCATTGGTTAAAAACATCCATTCAATTCTGAAAGGAGTAAGATCACAATGAAAGTGTTTATGGTCATACAATATATATATTGTATAGAGGAAAATCTTTCTCTGTTTTCACTGCTATTATTTCTTCTATAATAGTGATCATCTTTTTTTTAATGAGCACTTTTTTAAATCACAGAAAATAGGTTTTTTCCTGCTATTTTAATTAATATAAACTGTGGAAGTATTTTTATATAGCTCCTCTAGTTGTAAATCAATCAGAATAAATATTTCAGGATCTAAGGCCATAACATTCAGATTCAAGATCCTGGTACTGTATAGCACAGAAGAGAGTTGCTGAATTTGGGGAACTATAATTTCCATTAAAGCCTTCTATCTTTTACAAATACCTCAGGTGTAAAGATCATACAGTACGTCTTGCTTTCCAGGCAGTGTTTGGTATGGAAGCAGACTCGTCTTAGTCTTACTCTGTCAGGATTTCTGTTTTCTCCATTCTCTTGCTGCCAGTTTTGTATTTTCTCTCCACATTGGCTGGGCACATTTCTTCCCCATTTCAGGAAACTTTTAAGATTTAAGGCTAAGCCAAAGCGACCCCCTCTCCACCACAGAGCAAATATTTTTGCTATCCTCATTGTGGGAACACTAAACAATGGAACAGTAGACAGAAGGTTGAAAGATGTTGCATTGGTACCAGAGAAGCTATAAGATCAGCCTTCCCCTTAGCCCAGAGTCCCACATTTAGAATCTATCATCATTTTACCCTTCCACTAATTATTTCAGTTGTTCATCATGAACAGTAAAATCCATCAGTTACAGGTAATCCTGGATTGTTAAGTGAATTTGGCTTACAACAATTCACTTAGTGACTGTTTGAAGCTACAACAGTACTAAAAAAAGGTGACTTATGACCATTTTTCACAGTTACAACTGTTGCAGCGTCCCTGTAGTCACATGATCAAAATTCATATGCTTGGCAATTGACTCATGTTTATGACGGTTGCAGTATCCCAGGGTCATATGATCATCTTTAGTGACCTGAAAAGCAAAATCAATTGGGAAGCCCAGATTCACTTAACAACCATGTTATTAACTTCACAACTGCAGTGGTTCACTTAACAACTGTGGCAAGAAAGGTCATAAAACGGGGCAAAACTCACTTTTAACAACTGTTTGGCTTAGCAGCGGAAATTTGGGGGTCAACTCTGGTCGTAGGTCAAGGACCGCCTGTACTTGTTTCTCTTCTGTGCCAACATATGAGTAGGCTTACGCTTAAAACAGACTTTAAAATATATATTTTCACTTTAACATTTTCATTATTTGATCTCCTAATGTGTCAGACACTTTTTCTGTATTCACTTGTCTCATTCCCATCCATCCATTCATGCCACTTAGCAAAATAACTTTTTCCCCTGGGTTTCTTTCATTTATAAAGTGCAGAGCTTTCCCAAGAGGTCCTTTCTGATTCTTCCATTATCATCATTCACTAGAGTGTCACAGGAAATTATCACCAGCCTATGGGTTCCTNATTCCAAAAAAGCAGGAATACGCTATCTATGTAACAGGTTCTATGCAACTTCATTAAAGAGTGTCCACCCAATCAGTCACATCACAGGCAGCACAACCCATGAAAATATTAGTCCATCATACCTCAAAACACCTCAGAAACTATTAACTCTTTATTACAACAGTTTAGCATCATAGTAGCGCATAAATGGGGGGGGGTTGATCCTCTCTGAGCTTGATTGTTTTCTTGATGATGGTACCTAGTTTCGGTAATGAAACATCTGCAAAAAACCAGCCCAACCTCAGAGAGCACCAAGGACTCTTCATTTCAATTCTGAGCTGTAAATATTCTTCTTTATTGAGCCCATAAACCCACAAAATCTATCCAAAGCATCTTAAGCAATCCCAGATCTAGTAGCCAAATAAGACAAAGCAGGAGTCATTTATAACATAGAATCATAGATTAATAACCATTGGCTAAGCATGTCCGTATAGTGGAAGATTGACAGACTATATCCATGAACATAAACATCAATTAAATCAATGATGAAAACCTAATTTCAAAATGCATTGATTAGTTCAAACACAATTTCAATTGAGAAACAGTAAACATTTTTGATCAAGGCAGATCAAGGCAAAATGCAAGAGAATTCTCAGAGACTTGGCACTCTGTCAAATCAGCCATTAACAACATATTGAGAAAAGCTTCATCTATAAACCATTCAGCCGGATTCACCCCCTAAGCCAGGGGTAGACAATCTTGGCTCTTTTTATGACTTGTGGACTTCAACTCCCAGAATTCCTGATGAGTCAGCATGGCTGGTTCAGGAATTCTAGGTATTGAAGTCCACAAGTCATAAAAGAGCCAAGGTTGCCTACCCCTGCCCTAAGCATATCCTTCCTCGTCACATCCTTCTTAATCAACATCCATATAAGCAGGATCCAAAACCAAACACAAGGAACAATAACCAGTCAAGACTGGAAAGACAACTGCCACATAGAAATATGCAGCAAACTTCACTCCCCCGTGCACTGATAATGTTACCTCACCTGACAATGAAAGGTCAGCAAGAAGAAAAGCAAGCACCAGGTTCCCAACAATTCAACCATGAGCATATGTTCTCCATGATTGTAAGCACATAATTGTTTTCCCTCTACATCCATCAGCTTCCACATGCTATATACATACATCTAATTTGCATTCATTCCATTCTGCAATTCTGCCCTCATTTCTTTCACTTTTTTCCTTTTGTTTTTCATGTCCATTTTTTTTCTTGAAGCTCCACTCTTGTGATTTGTTCCCTGTTCATGGTGTCTCATCACCCTTGTATCTGTCAGTAATTCTCTTAGTCTTAATTCAATCACAAACAATGAAATTAATCACTTTGAGATTTACATTCATAATTTTGACATGCATAAATATGAATAGACCAATGCATAAGCCATGCCTTTGAAACATGCAGCTTTTTTTTTTAAAGTGATATTCACACCACTCTCATTCTTCTGTGGGATTCCAAATATTTCAGTCATTTTTCTCTATAAACTCTCATTTCCATTTGTAAAGGAAGGTAAGGTTGGCCTTAGGTGTCAGCCTTACCAGCAGTCCAGACAAGGAACCCAACCTGGGTTTATTTTATTGTAAAGATACATTAACAGAATCTTGTAAACCTGAAAGTACGGTTCTCCCGCTGTCTCTTTTGCAGCCTGAGAACTTAGAGAGTTTCTCTTGAGCCTCTTGCTCCATCCACTATACAGCTGTGAGCTATGCATCCCTAGGCAGCATCTTTTTGCCTGGTCTCCCAAGGTCATTCCCACATACCATTATATTGGGCATAGGAAAGGAATGATCAAACCCTCAGGTAAGCAGATAATGAACTTTCAGTGTGCCGTGATACAGCTAAGCCCTGTCTCCAGGACTCATTCATGCGATCAATAAACAAGGAGTCCTAGGATGAAGGCGGCTCTTGGCTTCCATCCATGAGACTCTACAATTCTATGAGAAGAAAGGGAGCTCTTTCTATCTCTATCTCACTCTTCCCTGCCAGGTTTATCCATTGACCTTGGTGAGCTGCCAAGCCCAACTGGAGGTGAAGGAGGGGGCAGTGATTTTGACAGACATGTGCTGTAAAGGAATTTACAACTGAGCTTGGGCTAAAGAAGGAGCGATCAATGTCCTGTCCTATGAATTTTTGATGGACGTGCAAAACACAGTGTCTTTCTGAATCATAGTTAATACATTGGAATGTTTGTGGTTATTATGTTCCTCCCACCTCTTATGGAGGGTGCTGCCTTGTGTTTTTTTTTTAGCTCATCCACATAGCAGTGGTGATGTGTTTCCCACCCATTATTATTATTATAATTTATTATAATTTAATTTATATACCGCCCTTCTCCCGCAGGACTCAGGGCGGTGCACAGCGTATTAAAAACAGTACAAATACAAAACATAAAAATACAAACCCCTATAAAACCAGATTAAAAAACCGAATATTAGAAGCTGTGTTTCTATTTAAAATTATTTTTAAAATCACCCTAAATAAAATCCTCCCTAGGTCAG